AAATATAGTCTGAGCGAAAGCAGATGCTGCAGAAAACATATCAAGACAGAAAATGAAAAATAAGGACAAAGGGGGGGAGAGAACAAGAAGGCACATTGACATTTCAGCTCTGATTTAATGGTGGTGCTGTTTCAAATAGCAATGACAAAAATTCTAAAACTATTTCCAGCACTGGATTGGATGCAAGATTATCCCTCTCTCCCCTTTAGATGTAGTGCAGGTGAGCCTCTCAGGTTCGATCCACGTTAGTATTCTTTTTCTTGCTTTGTTTGTTTTTCTTTGTTTGTTTTAAGTTGACAGATACACACCTGGGGTCTCTGATCTGGCCAAGTGGCATCCTGGTTGTGTTTCCAAATTCAAGTCTCTGCCATAGGCTGCCATTGTACTAAAAACAAACAAAAGAGCCTTCTGTAATGCCCAGTTCAGAGCGAGTAAAAAGAGGGCTTAAGAACTTAGTGAGTCTCTTGCATCATGGCATTCCTTAGATTTTTAAAGCGATCTCTTCACTGATTTCTTTGTTTTTGTAAATGCTGGGGAAAGATATTGTTAACAATTATGTTTATCAGGGATTGAATTTATTACCTTTTCTTTGATCATTATTATAAATAAATTAGCCCTGAGGATTTCCAGGAGAAAAGAATGCTAGATTGTAGTTCCCCTGCAGTCAGTGGTTAGTGCTTAACAATATTCTGTAGATATTGAAGCCAGTAAATATTGTTTAGGTTTTGTAGTTAGAAATGGTCCCTCCTTATTTAACAGCTCTGCTCCCTCTTGCTTCAGGTCATCCATAAACCACGGTGACGTGCATGGATGGAGCTGGAAAATGGGACATACGTCTACACAGCAACTAGACACCCAGGGCTGGGCTGTGCCAGCCGACTCGGGCTTTCAGGGCTTGGGCTGCGGGGCTGTTTCGTTGCTGTGTAGACTTCCATGCTTGGGCTGGAGCCTGAGCTCTGGGACCCTGCCATTTGTTCAATAGCAGAGGACAAAAGATTATACTGTCCTTCAAAACCATCAGTATTTCTGTTGGATGACCAATGCTCTTCGTTATAGTCTGATCAGAGCTGGTTGACATTTTTCCTTGCAATATTTCTTTTGATGAAAAATGGCCTTTTTTCCATAAACATTTTCATTTTTTTTTAAATTTTCAGTGTGTAGATGAAAATATAAAACTGAAAATTGTTTGGCTTTTGAAAACCACCAAAACAAATGTTTTTTGTTGGGGAAAAAATGGAAAATTTGATGACTTTTTTTTAAAAATGTGCAGCAAATACTTATCATTTCCTGACCAGCCATAGTTCTGATAATTGAATCTTTATGCATGATTGGAGGCAGAAGGAGCCCACTTTGACTTTAAAATCCCAAGCTGAGTATTCAGCACTGGCATTCAGAAAAATCACTTGTATTTAGCCATTGGGAGAGGGCGAACATGTAATCCTCCCCAGATCTGCCATTGAAAAACATTCTTTGGCAATCACACTTTAATGTGAAGCTCTAATCTGAAAAGTGACTGTGTAAAAGTGGCACCATCTCCTGTTATCTGTGTGTACTGAGTTATATCTCCTCACTTTCCTGACAAAAGTAAATATAACAGAACTACTTTTTACTTCTATTAATCATGCAGATCTAACACAGCTCTAGAAGAGGCGAGGTAGGTGTGTGTATTGGGGAGATGGCATCTTCTATTAGAAGATCTCTTTAAAAACATAATTACTTAGTCCTCAGTAGACCTCTGTGAGTAATGCAAATAATTATTATCCCCTTGTTTACAGACAGGAGCAAATAAAGCCCCAGTGTCACAGAGTGACTCCGTGGCAGGGCCAGGACTAGAACGCAGGATTCCTGACTCTCATTCATCTGCTCTCATCTCTAGACCAGTTCTTGTTATGGCCATTGTTGTCCCTCTTGGTGGTGGTTTCCTATGGCAACCGGAAACCATTTTTTGACTGAGAAACAGTGACAGCATCCAATAATGCCTGATGCTGGAATGCATTGCTACCATGGGTTAAATCCACCTTGGGGTGCTTGTTTACACAGGGTTTGGCTTATATGACATAACTGGGTCTCTCAGTTTCATGCTGATGAGAACCAGGATCGAGATCAGCCATCAAACACTAAATTTGCATACTGTCTCACATGGGTTCTGATGCTGAGCAGCTGTGCGGAGCCTGCTTTCCCTCTGATAACAGAGGCTTAGTGGAGAAAGCAGGATGCTTTCATCAGAAAGATGCGGCGCATTTGTGCAGCCCCAGAAAGGTCAGTAATTGGTGACTAGCAGCTGTGTTTTTGAAAAAAACAAGCACTTTTAGAATCTGCAATGTGTGCAGTTAATTCTGAGAAGTAGCTTTCTGTGCTTGAGGCCGGGATCTTAAGCTTGTGGGAGAAAGTGCTTTCCCACTGAGTTATAGGTCTGCTCCAATGAATTCAGCAGGCAAGAATCCTGCCCTTGATGGTGGTGTGGGTAGGATTGGGGGCTTACTGTCATCCAAGTCAGCAACTCAGAAGCATCAGGACCACTCTGAAGTTCCAACAGTTTTCATTTCCTCTTATTCTGTGTTGATCCAGCTGGTTCTTTTAAACACTGGAGTCAAAGAAATTATAAGGACTTCTCGCTTGCCCCCTCCCCATGTGTCATGTGACTGGCAAGAACACTGCAGTGTACCAATATCAATTGTTAGTTAGGATGGGGAAATAAATGGAAGGAAGTGAGATGGAATCCTATGTCCTTTTGAATATACTCACTGAAGGCAAGAGTTATTTGTGAGCTTCAAGCATATGGGTGGGAAAACAGCCTAAGCCAAAGTTGTTCCCACGTGTCCATAAACTAAATCTGATTCCTCAAATTAATCCAAGTTAAGAAACTTTGCTCTGGCAGAAGCTTGTAAATATTACAGTACCTGTCACTTTTGGATGCTGTTTTCTGTTTTCATAGCAATGAGCTGAAAGCTTTGAAGTGTGGGAAGTTTTGTTTTGACTTTTAGAAATTGACCTCAAAGCATCAATCTTTTTATACATCTGCTCCTTTCAGGCTACATGAAAATAGACCCTTAATTTTTGCAGGTGAAAACTTTTTATGATAACAGCATGGTTTAATGGTGAGAACTATAAACCAGGAACTCCTGAAGTATAATCCAAGCTCCAATGCCCACTCTCTCTGTCGGCTTTAATGCTTAATTTTTCCCATTTGTAAGCTGGTGGTAATGTTATACCTATCCTCAAAGGAGTAGGAGGATTAATTTAGACAATGTTTGTAACGAAATTTCCAGATGTAAAGCACCATGTAAATACTAAGAATTACCATGCTCATCTTTTAGACTATACATTCTTGAGGACAGACAATGTCCTTTTATTCTGTTTGTACAGTGCCTATGACAGAGACCTCAACATGGTTGGCCACTCTGAGCTATCACAATAACAAAGATAAATAGTAATAATTACATGTTAATTTCACTTACTGCCAAGCCAAATTTCTGGTTGATCCAAAAATGTAAATTATTTCTGAGAGATGTACTGGTAACAATTATCTTTCTCCTCCTCCTCCTGTGTTGGTTTCCAGCTGATATTTAGAGGCAAGTGAAGCCTTCATTATTGCTGTTGAACGCTACTCTTTATTGTCACTTTTTGTTTGGTTGTGTTTTGGGTTTTTTTAACCCTCCTAATTAGCAGTGCTTAACTTCGGGCTTGTCTTTACTGCAAAGTTAACAAGTTATAACTTGAGTGTTGCCCCTAAGTCAACTCCTATCCACACACAAAACCTTTAACTCAAAGGGTCGATCTTCACTGCAGACTTAACCCAGGCTCTTACTTCCATATTGTCCGTAGCTCCTATCCACCCACACAGCCCTCTCACCTGAGTGTGGTGGCCCTTTCAAGTAGGGTGATGTGAATTGGGTAGAAGAGCCCTGAAATGCAGAGTTCAAGTCCTGATCCCAGGCTGAATGATTCTGGGACATATTTTATCCTGGATTCCCTGCAGCACTGCTCAGTGCTTGCCCAAGGCTCAGGGGCAGTGCCAGCCTCTTGCCAGTGGTGGGAGGAGGGCTGAGGTGGACCTTAGCGCCCCCCTCACCACGAGGCCCGAACCCTGCCGCCAGGCCAGTATCTGGAGCCGAGCAGTAGAAAGAGCCGCTCAGGCTTGGGGGGAAGAGGAGGAACAGGGGCAGGCCTTGGAGGTAGCGAGGCTCCTGCAGTTGTCTCACTTTTGCCTTTTGAAAAGGTGGTCACTCTGCTTTCAACCCAGGCTAGCTGTCTCATCTGGGGCTATAGGCTAAAGCCTATGTGCTGCTTACACTTGGGCTGGTGACCCCCCACTTTGCAATGTGGATACAGGCTAATCAATTCTGCCACTACTAGTCCTTGCCTTCCCACAACCCTCACTCCCACCCCCATGTGCCCAGAAGGACAGACAAGTTCTCACACAATTCACTAGGAAAGAATCCTAGAGAGGCTCGGCTTACTGCAATGCTAGTAACCATGGGATATGACCACAGAAGTCCTACAGCAGCAGCGTGGATACAATCAAGTTGACATACTAAAGTCTGGCTTTGCAGTGTGGCTGGTCATACGTTGGCTAGGCTAACCTGGGTTCTTATCACCTGGAGTGAAGATATGCAGTCACTTAGACACTTGAGAATTTTACCTTAAAACAATAGATTGTGAGGCAAGATTTGGGCTCTATTCTGTGCTGTGTCCTTGGGTGAGTAATATGCAGCTAAATTTTCAAAAGTGGGCAGTGATTTTGTGTGGCTACTTGTGAACATTTTGTCCTTTCATTTCTGTTTCCTTCAAAGAGGGTCTGTAAATTGGGGCCTTTATCCATTCTAATGATCCCAGAGTCCCAAATCCATGTTTGGCGAATGATCTTACAAGTGCTTTGCTTTAATCTCTTAGTGGAATAACTAGGAAAGAAAACAGCTACTGTGGAGAGAGCCAGTAATGACCTGAACTGGGAGGCAAAAGCCCCAGATTTCCATTTGACTCCTCTTTTTGTCTTGCAGATGAGAGGATCTGTTCACCACCCTTTATGGAGCTGACAAGCGCCTGTGGAGAAGACACCTTGCAGGTCATAGAGAAGAATGGACTAGCATTCCCATTCAGTATGTAAACAGGCTTTTTATCACATATTCTGAACATTTGTCCTTTAAGAGCACTGTAACCAATGTAGAACTGCATGTTTCTTCATCAGGGACACTAGAACCTTTCTGTAATTAGCACCGTTAAACTGAACAGTTGGTATGTAGAACAATATCTCTCCCCACAAGCTTCTGAAGAGCTCCCTATGGATGTTCTCTACCTCAAACACTGCACTGCAGTAAACAAAGCCACGTTCCTGGGAAATCCTGGTAGTTCTAACATTTATACTGTTGTCTTGAACCTGCTCAGGAGGTTGCTCCCACCAGCCATGCTCACTGTTTTTCCTCAAGAGAATCATTTTTTCCCCTATCCCAAAATCCAGATGGAAAATGTGCCTTTTAAATGCCAGGAAATTTAAAAAAATAATAATAAAGTGTGTAAGGCAGGTTTGAGGGCTGCAGCCTCAGGCAGCTGCAGTAAGCTGATTGTCCCATTGTAACAGACATCCACACTGAGACTTTTTTTATTCCTTTCCTCATTTGATCCCGTCAGTGTAAAATGAACAGAAGTGGTGTCTGCTCTGTGACTTAGTCTCCTGTATTAGGCTATGGCTACGTTACGAGGCTTTTAGCGACACAGCTGTGCCACTACAGCCGTGCCACTAAAAGGCACACAGCGTAGCTGCTGTTTGTCGGCTGGAGAGAGCTCACCTGCCAACAAAAAACTTCCACTCCCCACGAGCGGCAGTGGCTTTGTCATCAGGAGAGCTCTCCTGTCGACAAAGCGCTGTTCACACTAGCGCTTTTCGTTGGTAACAATTTTGTTCAGAAGTGTGTGTTCTTTTAACACCCCTGAACGATAAAAGTTTTGCCGATGAAGTGCCAGTGTAGACAAACCCTTAAGCTGCAGTACTTTGTTTGTAAGTTACTGAGGTAAAACAATTATTGTATTGCCCTCTTCTCACCGAAATGAGATGCAGATCTCATGAAGTTATACTGTGAAGCAACACCCTATAGCCAACTGAATGATTTCGACTCCCCAGTTCATTCACTTTATAGACTGGCTAGCAGCAGTCTGGTTCTGCAGCACAGAGGTGGTCAAACTGCACAGCAGTGGTTCCCAGCCACTCGGACTGCAGTTTTGCCAACCCCAAGGTTCAACAGCCAGAAGTCAGACCTTCCACCCCCCCCCCCCCCCCCAAAAAAAAACCCACCACCATGAGATCTTTTTAGAGAGAGATTATGCTGTGGGGTTTTTTTGTCTGCCTTTTGATGGTTATTTTTATCTCCACCTGCCCATCCCCTGTGTGTATGTATGATGATGATTAGTGTTGTCCACTCTCTCATTTGTATTAAGGAGAATCCTCTCTGTAGGAGCTCCCACACCCTGCACAGCAATTAATTCTGCCCCATCCCTCAAATCAATCCTGCCCCCCCCCAGCTCCCACATTAGTTCTGCCCTCGCATCTGCCTATCACATCAATTCCGCCCTTCTAGCCTAACCTCTGCTGCTCCTGCAGCTCCTGGGTTCTTCACCCCACTCTTCCAGGTCTGGGGAGTAACTGCAGCCGGTTCCTCCCCTTCCCCCTTGTCAAGCCTGGTGTTGTAGGGATGGAGAGGGGGAGCAGAGAGCAGGCTGACCCACTGTTCACAGCTGGGCAGAGGGAAGAAGGGAGTGGAGCTGCTCTGAACTGCCGAGAGCACTTTCTGCACCCTCGTGTGAGAATGGAGTGGGCTGGTGATGAGAGGGAGACAGAGCTCTTCCTGCTTTATGCACAGTCCTGGCTGGCTGCTCTTCCCCAGAAGGCAGCAGGCAAGTGGGGAAGGCAGCCATTCAGAGCGGGTTTGCACAAGAGGACTGGCGCTGTTCACATGATCGCCAGGCTGACTTGAGCCCCGGCTGAAATCAAGTAACTCACAAAGAAATCACGAGAGTTATGAACACTGGCACTGCTATTTCAGGCATTCGTAACTGGTGCCTTGTGCTACCTTCCCACCTAAATGATCAGCTTCTGTGCTGAGCCCTTGGTGCTAATGCTGCCTGCCTTCTCCTGTGTTCTGTGTACTCTAACCCAGTGCGTATCACTCCAGTTCCAGAATAGCAGTTAAGAGACACGGGTCTGGAGCAGTCCAAACTCCATGGCAATGGACAGCACATAGAGTTGAGACAGTGAGCTCTAGCAAGTCTAGCTGGTACCATTGAGGTCTTAGCCTTGTGAACTGCTATATGGGTGGGAACAGGTGGTACAAAGAGTTTTGTGTGTGGCCCGTTTCGCTCATTCACTCTCTCTCCTTTTTTTTTTTTCCCCCCTTCATTTACACAGTTTGTAAAACCAGAGTGGCCCATGGAACCAACTCTCATGAGGTGAGTAAAAGACCTCTGGGGCTTCAGTCAGCTTTATTCTCTCCTGACTGCTTATGGGTTGTTTGGGAGCTCTACTGTGCAATAATAGAGTGATTGTTATCCCCCAAACTACTTCCCCTCCCCCCTTACATGTCCTTACTTCAGATACCTTTTGTAAGGTTACTTGGGCTCAGTTTAAACAGGGCTTATCGCCCTTGAGCAGAAGTTCCATCTCTAGCAACAGAGCGAGGCAAGAGCTGGGCTTGTGAGGCCTTCCTTCGTCAATCTGCCCTTTGGTGGGAGATTAGGCCAATTGGGTCTTCTCCCCCCTCACCCCCTATCTCTCAGCTCCATTGTGTGGTGCTGATGGTGAGAATTGGTTCTGAAATGTTGAGCCTTTGATCCTGTTTCCGGGTAGAAGGGCTGCCCAGTGTCTTCTCTTCAGTGAGATGGGCATGGGGAGAAGATGGGTGAGGAGAAGCAGCCCTCTCGCACTCCTCTTCATGGCGGGGGGAAGGAGAAGGGAGAAGCAAGTAGGGACAGAGCCACACATAGTCCCAGTTCTCTTCATGAGGTGGGAAGGGAGAGTGGAAAGGATTGGGCTGGGAGAAGCATCTCCTTCCCTGCCCTTTCAGGGAGGTGGCCATAACTGAAATGACTATTCCTGATGTAAGTGAATCTCCTGTGCATTTAGCTGGCCATAAATATAGGGAACCTGAGGTGAAGCACCTCCACCTTTTCCAGAATCTTGGGAGCAGAGGTTGAGAAACCCTATTTCAGCTCATTCTCCTGTAGCTTTCTTGCCTCCCTCCTCCTCAAATCCCAGTGTGAGAATCCAGGCCCTACTCCCTGTAAATAAATATTTTCTTTCCTTCGTTCTTTCATTCACAACTTATCTATGGCCACATCCAAGTTTCCCAGCTCCTTCTAAAATCTGCTGTGTGTTACTGCAGCACCTTTGAGAACGAAGGGCCCTGAAGTGAAATGCAGATCTAAAGGAACAGGGTGCCTGTTGGTAAAATGAGGAGTGACCAATATTCACTGTTAAAGAAATCATTTTTCAGTTGGACCATGCATCCTGTTTTACAAAGACAAGGCACATAGGTCCCTTGGGAGTTTAATTAAGGGATTGACTGATAGCTGCTGGCCACTCAATTTTTCAGATACTATTCTTTTGGAGATCAGAATCGTGTGACCCTGCTGCTGGTTCTCCTGTAACTGCCACATGAAATGCACAAAGCTTTCAGTGCCTAATGAGTTAGCATGGAATTTCATTACCGTGATAAGCCCCTCCTTGCAGTTCTTATGAAAAGTACTGACTTATTTAAGTTTTCTGCTAGAACCCCAACATCTGCAAGATGTGATGCTCAAATAGAGTTGTACTTCTGTGCCTTTTCATGGGAGCTGATCATTACTGCACAGGTTGGTGTCCTCAGCGATGCCTGAGGTCCTGCATGACACTTCAGTCCCTCTGGAGCAGAACCATTGTTGAAGTTGCCATGTTCCCCCAGGGGTAGTATTGGGGCTCATTTACTGTCAGATGGCAATCTCTCCTGTAATAGCCACATGTGGAGAATGGCTGCTTGAGAAACATGGAATGTTGTGTTTGTTGAAAGCTCCTGATGTGAAAGCAGCAGTCCAGTGACTTGAGCACAGGACTGGAAGCAAGTAACTGTAGTTCAGTTGTCCTCTCTGTGGCCTTAGGCAAGATGCTTAACCTCTGTGTACAGTATTGGAGTTGTGTCTAGAGGCCCCATCCAACTTAGTTACAGAAGCCTGCTTGCACAGGTTATTAACATGCGCATATTGGATATGGGCTGCCAAATAGATAGCATCTAGTAGACTAATGATAGAGTAAAAAAATCAGTTGCAAATAGGCATTGGCTACATGCACTAACTTGCACTCAGAAAATGTTAGAGAATCTCCTGATTGTGTATGCATGCAGAAAATTATGTGATCTCATATGGTCTGCCAGATATAGAAGAGAACAGAATAATAAGCAGCTAGCTAGAGACAAACATGTTCTCAGCCCTTTAGTCATAAATGCATAGTCATCCTATTGCTTATTTGACTAAAAGTATTACTTTTTGTTGAAATATTTATCATCTTATTATACAGGAACAAACTAGAAAGCTAACATGAATTCAGAAAAAGCTCCATAAACTAAGAGTACAACATAAATCAAATTGACAGGTACACATAGAGGAGATAGAAAGTGTTCCATGGTATGCAATTTGTAAAATCCCTCCGGTTAGCCTGACTTTGCTGAGATCCAGTTAATTGTAGAAAGCAAGAAAAGGGGCAGAGTTTATGGAGAGAAATGGCTATCTTTGAGAGGGATTCAGAGTCAGGGCTCATAAGCGGTGTTCTGAACTCTGCCATTGTGACCTAGGACAAATCACTTAAACTCTCTGGGCATTATTCTGGACCGATTTGAACTCAATAGGAAAACTAGTAGTCCCTTTTCAAAGTGACAAGATCATGGATCACTGCAGCCGGGTCTTTGCCCACAAAGAGCGGGCATAGCCTTCAAGCTAATTAAAGATGTGAATAAGCATTTCTGGCCAATGACTTAATCAGGGTGCCCAAGCGTGGAACTGTGTATCATGTGATGTGGATTCTGCTGGCTCTTCAGAGTGTTTCCTTTTACCCATCAGCATCCCTTCCATCTTATATGGGCTAGGTTTGAGCCAGCCGCTGTTCATCGTTGAGCCGCTAAATGACTTTCTCTGTGGCATATTTCTTCCAGTCCTTGTGTCATTCATTTAAGGGGGCTCTACGCTGTGGGCGATGGGATGAAACTGAGCCAAGGCAAATGTTGGCTGAGCATTGCCTAGCAGAGAGGGCGGTTAGACTCTGAAAGAATCTCTCAGTGAAGTGGCAGAAACCACAGTTGCTTGCGAGATTTAAACCTGGACCGAACCAAAAAAAGAACTGTAGGGAACAACTTTCATTGGCAAAGAGGGTCAGGATGACCTAATACATCTATTTCTTCATCTCTCTGATTCCCTGTATAATCTGATGGGTATTTTCCAGGTTCTGTCACTCAGATATTTTATTGATTTTAAATTAAAAATGAAATTGGGATTGTTACATAACTAACAAAGATAAAATGCCATTGTACATGTTAAAAAGAATCTTAATTTAAAATGATGTGTGCAACTGAAAGCCACGCTGATAACACTCTCAGGGACTTAGGCTTATTGCAGCAGTAAATGTAATAAAAGAGAAACTAGCTGCTGAGAAGGGATTTGCACTTGGTTATTATCCCTGGATAGATTTTTCCCAGATCACATATTTCAGCCAGACAATGTGAAATAAATGAAAGCCCAAATCCTTGTGGAGAACTGTTTACATTTTGTGTTTCAGATGGCAATCATATTCAACCAGGAAGGCTTGAAGGCCATCCAGCCCCCCTGCGTGATTCAGAGCTTCATCAATCACAACGCTGTGCTGTATAAAGTGTTTGTGGTTGGGGAATCCTACACTGTGGTAAAAAGACCATCTTTAAAGAACTTCTCGGCAGGCATTTCAGGTAAAGTGCCTGTGTGCGCCAGCTTAACTGCTAGCATGAGCTCAGAGGCCCTTGGCAGCAGAGATCCTGAATGAAAAATGTTTTTGAATAGGCTGCTAAAATTAAAGCATCTGCTTTTTACATGCTGTATTTCCTCCTCTGTGTTATTTCAACAGGAAGGGAGATAACTCATCTGCTCTGGAATACATGTGAATAGGGTTCTTATAGTAAATGTTTATGTGAAATTAACCTGAATCTTACCTGTTAAAAGCTGTGTTTTATGTCATTGTGGAAGTGGAGAAAGCTCCTTTACTAGAAACTCTCTAAACACTCAGTAGGTTCATTTGTCATTTGCTCTTGAGTTATAATTGCAAGATAGAGGGAAATTCCTGGATTCCATCATTTTGGAACTTCCTGTCCCTGTCTTTACCTTGTTCATTTTTTGTTTGTGTTTAAAGTAAGAGCAGTTGAGTTCTCCCATGCAGGAGCCTCTAGGTTTGTTCATGTGAAGGCCAGTTCTTGACATTCTCAGGGGAAATACAGTTGATCATTTTCATTTGGTTCTAGTTGGAAACTATTTTTGGGATAAGCGGAGTGGAGCTGCTGGGCTAATGGTCCTCCTGTAGTTATCAACAGGTATAGTTATAAATCAACAGAGACCATTTGAAGGGTATTAATTGAGTCTGCTGCAATTTCCTTTTTGGAAGAACAACAGCTTTCTATTGTGAAGCCTGAGGAATTGAGAAACTACATTCAATGGACTATAGGAAGCAGAAAATCTTTAGTGGGACTAGTATGAGTGAAATAGTGATACGTTTATCAGCTAGTGTGAGAAATTAGCATTAGGGAAATGTACTGAAGTATCAACTAATTTTAAGGCATCTTTATGAAGGACAGTGCCTTAGATGCAGCCATTAGCTTGTTAGTCTAAAGTTTTAATGTTATTTTGAATCCCATGTAAAAATGAAATTTGCAGACTGGTTTCAATGAATCCCTGGATTCCAAGTCCGGATTTCTTGGGCTAAAATCTGCTGCTGGCAAGGGACATATTATGAGCAAGGGATCAAGCAGGTCTGACTGTTTCAAGAGTCTACAGTAGCTGGTTGCAGAAATGTGAAGTCTTACAAAGTAGGAGCATAGACAGGCTATTTGAATTTCTGCCCCTTGGCTCCACCTCCTGAGCAGCACTTCCTCCTTCAGTGATTAGCACTGGAATAGGAAGAATAAAACTGACCTGGCAGCATCCTCAATAGAGAGCTTGTGGGACGTTTGTCATTTGTGTCATGAGGATTTTTAACAAATAGGCATCTTTTCCTTCTGGGGCTGCTTCTTTGCTCCTGCCCTTCTTCACGCTCCCTGGCATTCGTTCCTCTGGCTAGGAGGATTGCATTGGTTAGATTGGTCGGCGTGCAGCGCTAGAAGGAGTTCAGTCCCCTTTGAAACAATATCTCGGGACTTATCTTGACATTCCTTTTATTTAAAAAGCCAACGTGGGATATTCGGCCTCTGCTAAGTCAGATTTGTGTTTGTGTTCCCACCAACTTTGCCCAAGTCCAATTCTAACCTGCCCATGCTTCTCAGGAATGTGCATAGTTATGGACAGCTAAGCACACACTGGCTGGTTTTCAGAGCTGCTGAGCCCCCCACCTCTGTGGGAGATGCAGCTGCTGAGCGCCTCTGAAAATCAGGCCACAGATCACTTAAAAAACCTGCCTCAGATCTTGGCTACTGCTCTCTAACATGTTACCAAAGGTCACAGATTGTTTTGGTTTTGCCTCCCATGATTCCTGCATCTTTCCCATAATAAAGCGCAGTAAGCCTGTGGCTGTGATTAGCTGCCGTGATCCAGTCTGTGGAGGGAGCAACCTAGTAGAAACACATCCTACATCATGCTGCAAGTGTGTGATAACTCTGCACATTCAACATTATGTTTGGTTTGATGCTGTCCCAGATTCACGTCTGGGTTTATGTATACCATGGCGGTGTCCTGTAGTAAACCCAAGAGGACAGGTTGTCATAATGGAATGCTGCCACAACATTTATCCCCCCCGCCACCCCTCTAACCCCCGTTGGAGGGGTCCTCTAGGAGGATAAATTGGCCTGGGAGGGTGCATGGCCGGAGAATGTGCTAATACAATTCCCTGAGCAGCCTCCATGGCAGAGCTGCTGTGGTGTCTTCAAATTAAAGATCCTTCCTGCCTACCCCCCACTGGGGTGAATTTTGCTCTCTTAGTCATGGGGGTCCACCTTGGGTACAGGGCAGTATAATTTACACCTCCCCTGCACTTGCTTGGGTGGATCTAGTGCCAACTGTGAAATCATCCGCTTTTCCCATCTGTCATGTAAATGAAATCTTGCACGTTTTCAGTTGACCAATCTAACCAATGGTCACTTTAATTCCTAACAATTTCCTAGGAATTATTTCATTAGCTTACAGAAAACGTTCTTTAATGAGTGGGATTTATTTGACTGCAGAAATGAAACCAGTTCTATATAATATACACACACCCATGTTTTATTTACCTTATCTGTGTCTTGAAATCTTGAAGCTGTGTGGGTCTTGGGCTAGGTTTTCTGCCATGGCCAGGTGCCTATGTGCAAGAGGAAGCTTTGCACGACAGAGTCGTCTTAGTACATGCACAATGTGCCTCAGATGGCACGTGACCAGGATTCATCACCAAATTTGGTCCTCTGGTTGGATTATTAGCTTCCCCAGCTTGGGCCAGATACTGACATGCATGCTGATCTATGCCCCCCATGACAGAGTGGAGGACATTATCAGCCATTGAGCTGGATTAGATTCCCCGGCGTTGCACTGCCACCTAGTGTTACATACAGTATAAACCAATCCTTTTAAAATTCAAATCCAACTATCAATTCATTTATAACTTCCTTTTAATTTCAGATAGAGAATCAATATTTTTCAACAGCCACAATGTGTCGAAGCCAGAATCCTCCTCTGTCTTAACAGCAGTAAGTAATCCACGTCTTTTTTTTTTTTTTTTTTAACATTGATAGAAAACAAATCTCTTTTTCTTATGAAGCTATTAATGAATAGTGACTCTTGTACATGAATTGTGCCCTGTCAGCTCCCAGATAGCAAATTGAGATCTGTTTGCTACTTAGAACCAGCACAATTTAAAGCTGTTTCCCTGTTCATTTGATAGCCCTTACAAGGTTTTTCTCCTTTCCGTTGTGGGAGCAGAGATGCTGCTGCATGTCTGTCTGCTGCTTTGCTGTGCTTTGCCTTAACTGAAAGCCAGCCCAGATGGGGAAAGGAAATTTCCTGAGCAATAATTTCTAGTACCTTTCATCTCCAGAGAATTTTATAAGCCTTAATGAATCCTTATAGCACTCCTGGAGGTAAGGGAGTGGTATCCCCATTTGAAAACCCAAAGCAGAGAAGTTAAGTGAGTTGCCCAAGACCATGAAGATATGCACCTAGAATGTAAGCATTCCTGAGCTCTGAGCAGTAGGCCACACCTCTTTATTTATATCCTCAGAGTACATTAACCCCAAGCACACCTTTATTGTGTTTACGACTAGCCGTGTTAATAGTCAAGGTAAAGGTGGATCCTGCAAGGTGCTGAGCACTCTCAACTCCCACTAAAGTAATCTTGCAGGATTGAGCCCATAGTGTGTCTCCAGATTCTTCTCTGGTTCATGTGATCTAGTTGGTTTGTAGTCAAAAGTTTAATACAGTGACCAGATGTAGAATTGCAATGTCCCACTAATTGACATGCTAAATATTATTCATGTCACTGAACTAATCATAAATCCCTTCCAGTGGCTAAATTTTGTGATGAGTGTATGTTTATGCATGTTTTTGGATATATACACAGCTATTCTGTACACAAAACGGTACTTGTATTGCTCAACCTCTTGGCTAAGAAATGAGTGTGATTAAATTTCACATTCACAAGTGACCCGAGTCACTCTTAATAATAAACTGTTCTAAAATAACTCAGACTTCAAACCCAGACCTCCCTTATTAAACAACTGCCCTGAGCAATGCCCCAAAATGCTGAGCGCAGTAGTGATGCACCTTAACACCTTCTGTTAAGTAACTCATTCTTGTCAGCCCCTTAATCAGTCCCTTAAGGCAGGTTTAATTTTAGATTGGCTTATCAAACGTACATGATGAAAGGCAGAATATCTGCAGTGCAGGAGTAGAGGCTGCAGTTTTCTTTTGATTTTAAAATGTGTGTCTAATATTTAAGATACTGGACCTAATTCTCCATTCAGCTTGGTGCTGGTGTGTGTATCCACTGATTTCCATGGAGTTACACCAGTGTAACAAATAGAAAATCAGGCCCACTGAGTACAATAGACGAGCCTAACTTTTACTGTATATAGGATGCAGAATCAAGAAAAGCTCTTGTGGCTTCTTCCCTGCAGTTGGATCCTACAGGATATAGAATGGGGAAGCTCTGTAAATCAACACATATACTAAAGAGAGAGCCCAGTTCAGAACCCCTCAGTTGTTTCTCTTTGTCTTTTTCACTGTAGCTTGATAAAATCGAAGGTGTGTTTGAACGGCCAAATGACGACGTCATCCGGGAGATCTCCAAGGCACTGAGACAGGCTCTGGGGGTTTCCCTCTTTGGGATTGACATTATCATTAACAATCAGACCGGCCAGCATGCAGTCATTGATATCAATGCATTCCCAGGTAAGAGAGACCTTTCAGCTTTCACTAAACTGTGTAGATACCATACCGTGTGTGTTCAGTGAGAATTAGTATTGCTGTTCATAGAATCATAGAAGATTAGGGTTGGAAGAGACCTCAGGAGGTCATCTAGTCCAACCCCCTGCTCAAAGCAGGATCAACCCCAACTAAATCATCCCAGCCAGGGCTTTGTCAAGCTGGGCCTTAAAAACTTGTAAGGATGGAGATTCCACCACTTCCCTAGGTAACCCATTCCAGTGCTTCACCATCCTCCTAGTGAAATAGTATTTTCTAATATCCTACCTAGACCTCCCCCACTGCAACTTGAGACCATTGCTCCTTGTTCTGTCATCTGCCACCACTGAGAACAGTCTAGATCCATCCTCTTTGGAACCCCCCTTCAGGTAGTTGAAGGCTGCTATCAAATCCCCCCTCACTCTTCTCTTCTGCAGACTAAATAAGCCCAGTTCCCTCAGCCTCTCCTCATAAGTCATGGTCCCCAGCTTCTAATCATTTTGTTGCCCTCCTCTGGGCTCACTCCAATTTGTCCACATCCTTTCTGTAGTGGGGGGCCCAAAACTGGATGCAGTACTCCAGATGTGGCCTCACCAGTGCTGAATAGAGGGGAATAATCACTTCTCTCAATCTGCTGGCTATGCTCCTACTTTTGCAACCGAATATGCTGTTAGCCTTCTTGGCAACAAGGGCACACCGTTGATGCATATCCAGCTTCTCGTCCACTGTAATCCCCAGGTTCTTTTCTGCAGAACTACCGCTTAGCCTGTCGGTCCCCAGCCTGTAGCAGTGCATGGGATTCTTCTGTCCTAAGTGCAAGACTCTGCATTTGTCCTTGTTGAACCTCATCAGATTACTTTTAGCCCAATCCTCCAATTTATCTATCCATGTTGACTGTTCCTGATCACCTTCCTCTCCTCCAAGTGCTTCAAAATGGATTCCTTGAGGACCTGCTCCATGATTTTTCCAGGGACTGCAGTGAGGCTGACTGGTCTGTAGTTCCCCGGATTGTTGTCCTTCCCTTTTTTAAAGATGGGCACTATATTTGTCTTTTTCCAGTTGTCTGGGACCTCCCCCGATCGCCATGAGTTTTCAAAGATAATGCCAATGATTCTACAATCACATTAGACAACTCCCTCAGTACCTTGGATGCATTGCATCCGGCTCCCTGGACTTGTACATGTCCAGCTTTTCTAAATAGTCCTTAACCTGTTCTTTCACCACTGAAGGGCTACTCACCTCCTCCCCATACTGTGCTGCCCAGTACAGCAGTCTGGGAGCTGACCTTGTCTGTGAAGACCAAGGCAAAAAAAGCATTGAGTACTTCAACTTTTTCCACATCATCTGTCACTAGGTTGCCTCCCCCATTCAGTAAGGGTCCCACACTTTCCCTGACCACCACCTTGTTGCTAACACACCTGTAGAAACCCTTCTTGTTACCCTTCATGTCCCTTGCTAGCTGAAATTCCAGTTGTGCTCTGTCTGGCCTTCCTGATTACACCTCTGCATGCTCGAGCAATATCTTTATACTCCTCCCCAGTCATCTGTCCAAGTTTCCACTTCTTATAAGCTTCCTTTTTGTGTTTAAGCTCACCAAAGATTTCTCTGTTAAGCCAAGCTGGTCGCCTGCCATATTTGTTATTCTTTCTGCACATCGGGATGGTTTGTTCCTGCACCCTCAATAAGGCTTCTTTAAAATATAGCCAGCTCTCCTGGACTCCTTTCCCCCTCATATTAGTCTCCCAGGGGATCCTGCCCATCAGTTCCCTGAGGGAGTCAAAATCTGCTTTTCTGAAGTCCAGGGTCCGCATTCTGCTGCTCTCCTTTCTTCCTTTTGTCAAGATCCTGAATTCAATCATCTCATGGTCACTGCTGCCCAGGTTGCCACCCACTTCTACTTCCCCTACCAATTCTTCCCTGTTTGTGAGCAGCAGGTCAAGAAGAGCACAGCCCCTAGTTGGTTCCTCCAGCACTTGCACCGGGAAGTTGTCCCCAACACTTTCTAAAAACTTCCTGGATTGTCTGTGAACTGCTGTATTTTTCTCCCAGCAGAGGTCAGGGTGATTGAAGTCCTCGTCTACCTCATTCTCCTGGTCTGGCAGTCTATAGCATCACCCTTGTTGCTCTCGCCTCTAAACTTAACCCAAAGACTCTCAACAGGCTTTTCTCCAGTTTCATATTGGAGCTCTGAGCAATCATACTGCTCCCTTACATACAGTGCAAGTCCTCCATCTTTTCTCCCCCACCTGTCCTTCCTGAACAGTTTATACCTCTCCATGACAGTGCTCCAGTCATATGAGTTACCCCACCAAGTCTCTGTTATTCCAATCACCTCATAATTCCTTGACTGTGCCAGGACTTCCCATTCTTCCTGCTTGTTTCCCAGGCTTCTTGCGTTCGTGTACAGGCACCTAAGATAACTAGCCGGTTGCCCTACTTTTTCAGTATGAATCAGGAGGCCTCCCCAGTTGCACCTTCTTCATTGTGTTTCCTCCCGGTATCCCACTTACCTTCGGGCTTAGGTCACCATCCCCCAGCGAACCTAGTTTAAAGCCCCCCTCACTAGGTTAGCAAGCCTGCCTGCGAAGATGCTCTTCCCTCTCTTTGTTAGGTGGATTCCATCTCTTCCTAGCAATCCTTCTTCCTGGAACAACATCCCATGGTTGAAGAATCCAAAGCCTTCTCTCCGACACCACCTGCGTAACCATGCATTTACCTCCACAATTCGATGGTCCCTACCTGGTCTTTTTCCTTCAACAGTGTGTTCCATTTTTAAGCAGGTTCCCAAGATGGCTCTCTTTTGGGCTCCCTGATTCTAAGGCATTGCTTGTTAGGAAACTTCCAACCCTCAATCAGCTATGTTCTCATGAAAAATCTGTCCCTACGCAAAACATTTAAAAGATACCTTTTTTGTGGGGAATTAGGAGTCACAACTGAGAGTAATTGATTCGGGAAAGATGCTGGAATCCTAGGAGCACAGAAATTGCCATAGTGGATCAACCAGAATTCCATCTGGTTCAGTATCCTGGCAAGTTGCTAGAGCTGAACCCTGAAATATAACAATAAAAATAATCAGGTTTAATTTGATATTTTCCCCTTTGTCCTGTTAGTGCAGGATACAGCCCAGAAACAAAAATGGTGTTTCAATCTTTGGAACATCTGAATCAGCGTTACATTTCTGGGGTCAGGCTAATGAATGTATTGTCCAAGGTTCAGGAGCTATTTCCTTGTGTTTGCTTTTCATTTGACATATTTATCTCATTAGCGAATAGTGGTGTTGGCTTCAAGTGACACATGCAAGACTGTTATCATGGTGTAGTTCCACTACAGTGGGTCTCACATTTTTTGTATTGAAGAGCACTTTTTAAGATAGAGATTAGAGTTACCATTCGTCCGGATTCTGCCGGACATGTCCGGCTTTTTTGAGTTAAAAATAGCATCCGGGGGGAATTTGTAAATGTCCGGACTTCCCCCCCATGCAGAGCGTGCACGGCTGACAGGGCAGCCGGCCGGATCGTGCCACTCGCACGGGGCTCAGGACAGCCAGAGCCCCTCCTCCACTTCCCCCTCCTCTCCCCTACAACTTGAGACCACTCCCCTCCTCTCTCTCCCTCCCTCCCCCTCCCTGCATTCGCAGATCGCCGGCTGGCTGTTCGCCTCGGGCCTCCGGCAGTCTGGAGCTCCTCCCCCTACTCACCCTCCCCTGCTGCCCAGCGCACCGCTCCACAGCACTCTGTTCTGAGCGGCACGGTGAAGGGGCAGGGAGGTTCTGGAGGGAGCAGTCAAGAGACAGGGAGCAGGGTTGGATGGGTCGGGAGTTCGGGGGGGGCTGTCTGGGGGTTGGGAGTGTAAGGTTTTGGGCAGTCAGGGTACAGGTAGGTGGTAGGGTTCTAGGGGGCAGTTAGGGTGGGGGCGTCTCAGGAGGGGGCAGTTAGGGGACAAGGAACAGGGAGGCTTAGGTAGGGGGTGGGGTTCTGGAGGGCAGTTAGGAGCAGGGGTCCCAGGAGGGGGCAGTCAGGGGACAGGGAGCAGAGGGGTTTAGATGGGTCGGGAGTTCTGGGGGGGGGGGCTGTCAGGGGGTGGGGAGTGGTTGGATGGGGCGTGGGAGTCTCTGGTGTCAGTCTGGGGGTGGGGGTGTGGATAAGGGTTGGGGCAGTCAGGGGACAGGTAGGGGGTAGGGTCCTAGGGGGCCAGTTAGGATGGGGGGAAGGTCTCTGGAGGGGGCAGTCAGGGGACAAGGAGTGGGGGGGAGGGTTGGGAGTTCTGAGGGGGGCGGGAAGTGGGGGGGAGTGGAAGAGGCAGGGGCGGGGCTCCTCCCATCCTCTTTTTTGTTTGTTGAAATAGACATCCTATCACAAACCATCTCCTTCCTAATCTTTCAGTCCTGTTTCCTCATCTCCCTGAGAAGTAGGTAGAACTAAGGCGTCTAGATGAAAATAAACTCACTTTAATGTGATGAATATCACTATTGGATTTGATCCCCTCCCATTGGATCTGTGTTGTCTTTCCTCTCCATAGATACAGGACTTCCTTTAAAAACACCTACTTTCCCCATGTTATCTGCAATTCTCCAGCTGCTCTTCAGTATATTTTACAACTTGGTTTTGCCCTTCTCTGTGTTTGCCACCCCTCCTGGTGTTCGTGTGATCCGTAAACAAATGACAAAAGATTTGCAAAAAGCGGAGTGTGAAGAATCACTTAGGATTTTCAGTGGTGCTTTTAACCAACTAAACTTCAATCTCTCTCCCCTCCCAAAATGCTGAGCGTCCTGGTTAGGATGCAAGCTAACTGTTTAAAGAGGGGAGTGCTTCCTCACTGGGGCAGAAACATCCATGGAGCACGTGGAATCACTCTGCACCCCACCATTTCTCCTTTGTTGTGCTTCCAGCATGAGGTTGCATCTTGAGCTATGCATTAGAAATTCCCTTTGTGTCCTGCATTTTGAGCTGCATGATAGCTTGTACTTTGAAGGGGGTTTGGATCAATAG